CATCCAGAGACTTCAGGTACTCAGGACGGATCTCATCCAACCCCGGAGCCTTGCCACCAAGGAGCTTGCCAACCACCTCAGTGACTTCGGCCAGGGTGATGGATGAGTCCGCCTCCGAGTCCCCAGCCTCGGCCTCCTCGGAGGAGGACGTGACGGTGGGATTGAGGAGATCCTCAAAGTATTTCTTCCACCGCCGGACAACGTCCCCAGTCGAGGTCAACAGCTCTCCCCCCGCACTGTAAACAGTGTTGGTGAAGAACTGCTTTCCCCTCCTGAGGCGCCGGACGGTTTGCCAGAATCTCTTTGAGGCCGTCCGATAGTCCTTCTCCATGGCCTCCCCGAACTCCTCCCAGCTCCGAGTTTTTGCCTCCGCGACCACACGGGCTACAGCACGCTTGGCCCGCCGGTACCCGTCAGCTGCTTCAGGAGTCCCCCGAGCCAGCAAGGCTGATAGGACTCCTTCTTCAGCTTGACAGCATCCCTTACTTCCGGTGTCCACCACCGGGTTCTGGGGTTGCCGCCACGACAGGCACCACAGACCTTACGCCCACAGCTCCGAGCAGCTGCATTGACAATAGAGGCCGAGAATGAAGCCCACTCGGACTCCATATCTCCAGCCTCCCCCGGAATCCGGGAGAAGTCCTCCCGGAGGTGCGAGTTGAAGGTCCCTCTGACAGAGGGCTTCGCCAGACGTTCCCAACAGACCCTCACTACACGCTTGGGCCTGCCAGGTCTTTCCGGCTTCCTCCTCCGCCAGCGAACCCAACTCACGACCAGGTGGTGATCAGTTGACAGCTCAGCCCCTCTCTTCACCCGAGTGTCCAAGACACGCGGCCGGAGATCAGATGACACGACGACAAAGTCGATCATCGACCTCCGGTCTAGGGTGTCCTGGTGCCACGTGCACTTATGGACACCCTTGTGCTCGAACATGGTGTTCGTTATGGACAAACTGTGACTAGCACAGAAGTCCAATAACAAAACACCACTCGGGTTCAGATCGGGGAGGCCGTTCCTCCCAATCAACCCTCTCCAAGTGTCACTGTCGTTGCCCACGTGGGCGTTGAAGTCCCCCAGGAGAACAACGGAGTCCCCGGTCGGTGCACTGTCTAGTACCCCTCCCAAGGACTCCAAGAAGGCCGGGTACTCTGCACTGCTGTTTGGCCCGTAGGCCGACACCACAGTGAGAGACCTGTCCCCGACCCGAAGGCGCAGGGACGCGACCCTCTCGTTCACCGGGGTGAACTCCAACACACAGCGACTGAGCTGTGGGGCAATGAGCAGGCCCACACCAGCCTGCCGCCGCTCCCCGCGGCCAACGCCAGAGAAATGGAGAGTCCAGCCCCTCTCAAGGAGTTGGGTTCCAGAGCCCAAACTGTGCGTGGAGGTGAGGCCGACTATATCTAGTCGGTAACGCTCAACCTTCCGCACAAGCTCAGGCTCCTTACCCCCCAGCGAGGTGACATTCCATGTCCCCAGAGCTAGTCTCCATGTCCGGAGATCCGGTCGCCGAGGCCCCCGCCGTCGACTGCTGCCCAGATCTCTCTGCACCGGCCCCATATGGATCCTCCTGCGGGTGGTGGGCCCACGTGAGGACGGCCCCACGTCGCTCCTTCGGGCTGAGCCCGGCCGAGCCCCGTGGGGGGAGGCTCGGCCACCAGGCGCTCGCTGGCGAGCACCCACCCCCAGGCCTGGCTCCAGGGTGAGGCCCCGGTGACGCCAATCCGGGCGACGTAACTGGCCTTGCTCGTACACTCATCATAGGGGCTTCTGAACCGTTCTTCGTCTGACCCGTCCCCCCGGACCTGTTTGCCTTGGGTGACCCTACCAGGGGCATGAAGCCCCCGACAACATAGCTCCCGGGATCATTCGGGCACTCAAACCCCTCCACTACGATAAGGTGACGGTTCAAGGAGGGGATATTATATTAGGTTTCATTTCCTGGATTGTGGTCTCAGAGGAGAAAGTAGGAAATGCTGCTCTATTGAACAGAAATTATTATTGAGGCAAAACCTCTAAATATTAATGCCTATTATGTGCATAAACAAACAATACTCAACTAAAATTGTATTTCTTAATTTAAAAACTATGATATTATTGTGGAGAACTGCTGACATGTGGAAAGAGGCCATGGATTACAGTACAGAGACTGACTTAAATATTTTTATAGGTGAAATGAGTACAAGGGCATACCAGAGTAGACTTAAGGAAATATTAATGACCAAATAAAACTTAATTAAAACATTATTCAGGTTTGTTTTTGTAATGTATATATAATTGATTGTTTTTTTTTATAATGTAAATATAATTATAATGTAAATATAATTATCAATTACCACAACTGAATTGTATGATATCAGCCTACTGCAAAGTGAGTTGCTAGTGCTCAGATTAGGTCTACATCATTTTTAAATTGTGGTCTCATAGGAGAAACTGGCAAATGCCAAGCAGAAAATATCCAGATTAGTATGTATTTTCGGTCATTGCATTACCTATATTTTGTCTTTTTGCAACCTTAACTGGCCTTAACGCCACTGTTATTTGTCAAATTCACTACAAGCACTTACATAATTTGTGCTCCTTGACCTCTTAAACTTAATGTAAAGTTTAGAAAGAAGGACTGGATCGATACTGTTAGGGTCAAGCTTTCTATGGGGAAACAACATCCTACGTAGTGAATGAATATATGTTGCCAAAATCTGTTTACATATCAGCCCAAAAAATTTGGCAGACCTCAGTTTCTCTCGATTCAAAACAGTTGGCCAAGAAAGTTACTATTTAGCATATGTGATGAGGTGGTTGACTCTAACGGATTCTGTACAGAAAAGGTTTTGTAAAATGAATTTAATTAATTAATTTAATACACGTAACAGTGAATGGTTACCTGTCTATAACAGACTAAAGCTTCCATCTGTACAATTTATTATTGTTATTATTATTATTTTTTCATCAGTATATGGCTGATGTGAAACCTGTTCCTAGTCCCTCACTCCTCACCTGGCATTTGTTCAGGCTCACCTTTGCTCTCTGGTCTTCTTCTGTCAGTCTAATGCTGGCACACTATCAGACAGCAGTAATGTAGAAAGCATCTGGTGGTGATATGTGGGAATACAACAGGGTCTGGTCAGCCAATCTAATTACATTACAGCCTTAAGGCCTATTGCTCATATATAAAAAAAAAATAAAAAATCAATTTGATTTGATTTGAATTTTTTTATTTGTATATTCCATGTCCATAAGACACAGATGAACAGAGCAATTTCACTGACAAAGAAGAACAGTATGTTATAAATTTAAGGCTGACTACTCACATTATCCACCACATTACCATCAAAATGTAATTACATAAGATAAGGAACAACATCTGAACATATAACTGCAAGTATATTCATATTTTGTCCATAATATATTGGTCAAAATGAGTCATAAAGTGCTGATGTCTACATTTTATCAGGTTGTGGGTGTATGACCAATAGACCAGGTCACAGTTCATAGCAAAAATATTCGTCACTTCACTCTGTAGTTGCTGACTTTATTTAGAAACCACAGTAAACAAATGATAAGCAATGAGGATAGATTATTCCATGTTTACTCATTGTCATTTTAAAATTATGTTCCAATTATTTTCCCAGCACATTCTGATAGTTTGTTTTAGTTAGTGAGTAAATGTCTTAAGCCAGTCAAACATGTTTCTAATCAACTTAATTTTTAGGACCTCCTTTGTTAGTTTGTCTACATCTACAAAGCTCAAAATGCGCTCTTCCACCTCGTGCTGTCATGTAGTGGTAGTTTAACAGCTACCTGGGGCTAAAATCTTCCAAATTATTCTAACAAAGGTGCATGGAATTTCATAACACAATGGAGCACTAGCCTAAATATGATGGATATGTGTGAATGAAACAAAGCACAACTCCAGGCATGTTTGTGATGAGGAAACATTATCACAGAGATCAGAAAATAGAATGTAGGTCCTTTAATGTATATTTAATTATTTTGCAGTCAAAATTATCCATGCAACTCTTGACAAATATTCAAACACACATTTTCAGTTGATAAAATAGACCTACACAGATCTTGCCTTGTACTGTATGTTGTTCATATAATAGTAGCACTAAAATGTTGTAAGTACTATGCTGTGTTTGAAGACTTTATCAGTGCACAAAGATTTACTTAGCTGAAAAAATTGTCTACTTTGGCCTTAGTAATCAGGTGAATGCTGTTTGCGTGGTAAAAATCAAACATCCCACATGGGTAAAGTGCACTGCCGCAAGACTCTTACTGTTGCCACTTAGTCTTAGTCTGGGCCAGTGTTTAATTTTAGATAATTTGTCCAACATATCAGATAGTGATTGTACACTCTGTGCTCCAAGATTACTACAAAAACAAACTGGTAATGCTGAGTTTCATGCTTTTATAATAACTACAGTTTAATTAGCCTTAAAGTTGCTGAATTGTTCAATTGTGTGAAACTCTCCAGTAAAAAGTGCAGCATCTGCGTTGGAATTAATCAGTTACAATATTTCGAGCTGCAGCTGCTGCCCCTTTCATTGGAATTATTGAAGTAATAGCAGTTAATGCAAATTTCACATCAAGACAGGGTTCAATCATTAAACCTTCACCAAATTTTACGAAATAGGCAGTTATTGCATTTTTCCTTTATAGTGCAGTGTTCATTATAGGTGTTTCTATTGCTCAAAAATACAGTAATTCCTTCCGTGAATTGGGGCGACTCTCCACAGATTTGAATTGTAATGTAGCGTAGTACTGTAACATGCTTGTCTCCCTTGTGTTAAAGCGTTGATGCTTTATTAAGGCTATTAAAATTGATTATAAGGGGTGTAAAACAGGATTCATGTGAGCCAACTTTTCAGTTGCATTCAAATTGTTTATGCTGTTTTTCTATTCTATGATTTGACAGTCAATCACAGAGATGTCACTGAGAATAGCCTCCTTATGTTGGGGTGTGTCCTAACTAATGGGGGCGTGTCCTCTTTTCACAGACTATTTAAGAGCTGCTGACACTAAAGTCCGTCCTGGTCAGTCATGGGTCACCCTGGGATCCAGATGCGGACGTGGGTGCTGTTTGTGACTCTCGGGTGCTCCTATTTGGGTCAGGCTTTGGAAGGACCGTAAGTAACATTTTTAAGATGTTTTCATAATTAAAATTTTCTGTTCAAGTTTTTAATCACAGACTTGTAGCGTTTAAAGGCACTATGTAACGTTTTGGTTGGGGGTCCGCCACCTGCTTGTTTCTATGCATATGTCATTGCTCTGCCTTGACATTATGACATTAAACTGCTCTATCTTACATTTATTTAATTCCAGGTAGTTTTATAGTCTAAAAATCCAAGGCATTCTGGCTGTGAGAGGGGATGCCTCTCCACAGATATGACCTGTAATATGGTCTGGTTTGGTCTTCATAGAAACGTTTAATGCCAAACATTCTAGACAAAGTAATAACTCTCTATGGAGACAAGAATTTGAAGGAAAAGTTACACAATGCACCTTTTAATTTTAGCCATGAAATGAGATAGAATCTCATCTACTTTAACTTAGACAAACTTTATTGATCCATAAGGGACATTTTTTGGACACAGTAGCTCACACATCACAATATATTATAATAACAAAGGCATATAAACATAATGTAATGTATTTGAAAAAAGACTCGAAGAGCAGGTACGTTTAAGCAAACCTTAACTGTGCCACGTTTTACTGTACACATTTTGCAAGTACCAGAAAAAGACAGGCGCATGGGCAACAGCACCAGAACAGGCTGCATGAAAACTCACAGGCAACACATGGGCAAATACATCACATCATCCCCTCTCTAAAAGAGGACTTACTATAAAACAAATATATACAAAAAAAAAAACTGTACACATAGACATTTTTAATTTGTATACAATTTCAAAACAGTTAACATAACAACATTGTCACCACTATGTGACCCAACAATTTACTTCAACTATCAATTAAATTTCAAATGTCACACTGATATGCCATGAACAAAATATATCAGCAATTATAACGTCTTAGAATACTTTTACTTCTAAAGATAGTTAGTAGATAGTGCTATTGCGAATATCTCTGAGGTTTTTTTACATCTTAAAGTCACAGGTGGAGATTCTACCAGGTCAGATGGCTGCTTGGTAGAATCTGCATTGGTCTCCACAGATGTGTCATCTTCAGTATTTTGCTCTGGTGTTTCAGTTCCAAGGCTCAGTCTCTGTTTCCGGTCTTGCTCTAGCACGAAGCTGATCTCCATGGTGTCTGTGCACCATGTCAGTGTTTCTCTCTTTCACTTCATAGGAAACTGGTCCTGTTTGTCTCAGTACTTTTCCAGGAATCCACTTGTGAGCTCCTCCCGCTGTATTGCGAAGATATACTGACTCGTCCGTCTCAAAAGAACAGTCTTGAGATGTGTAGTCGTGATGAGCTTTTTGTTGATACTGCTATTTGTGAACCTTTTTCGTGCAGGGTTTGAGGAAATCCAGGCAGGTGCGGATGTGCCTGTGAAGAAAGTCCGCTGGAGACTGACCCGTAGTACATTTTGGAGTGGAGCGGTTCTGAAACAGAAACAGTGACAGTTTGACCTCAATACTGCTGGTGTGGCTGGCAAGCTTTTTCATGCCCGTTTTAAAAGTCTGAACATATCTTTCTGCCCAACCATTTGTAGGGGGGTGTCCAGGAGCACTTGCTGTGTGCAAGATGCCGTTTTGTGTCACAAACGTTTGAAACTCTTCAGAAGTGAAAGTGGTAGCATTGTCAGTCACTATCTGTTCAGGAAGTCCATAAGAGGCAAACAGTCTTTTTAACCTGATGACTGTCACTTGTGTTGTGATCTGTGCCATACGAAACACTTCCAACCATTCTGTGTATGTATTTTTGCTCCAACTGACATATTTCACACTTTGCAGGCCTGTTCAATGTCAAAGTCCACATTTGGCCACCAAACATATTTGTGAGCTAGGGCTTTGGACTTTACTATGCCCTGGTGACCCAAGTGAACCTCTTTCAGCACTGCTTTTCTCATTTTTGATGGCACAATGACTCGGGTTCCCCACAGGACGCATCCATGCTCAGCACAAAGTTCATGTCGCTTTGTGTAATACACTTTAAGGTTGTCGTTAATATTAGTTGGCCACCCTTCCATTACATACTTGTAAACTCTTGACAGATCTGAGTCTGTACGTGTAACCCTTGCGATTTGTGTGGCATTCACTGGAGCTTCCTTTATGTGCTCAGTCAACAGTGAGTGTACTGTTGCAGTGCTCACTGCTGTTGCCTCATCACTAGTCTCTGGTAATGGACAACATGACAGTCCGTCTGCAGTACTATGATCTGTTGATTTTTTGTAGACAATGTGGTAATCATACGCTGACAATATGATTGCCCATCTTTGAATGCGTGCCGCTGCCAATGTGGGTAAACACTTATGCTCACCAAAAAGTGTCAGCAGGGGGCGATGGTCAGTTGCTAGAATAAAATGTCTACACCACAGATACTGATGAAATTTTTAACACCATAAATCAGCCCCAGAGCCTCTTTTTCAATTTGGGAATACTTTTTTTCAGCTGGGGACAGCGTGCGTGAGGCATAAGCTATGGGTCTTTCTTCCCCATTTGGCATTGTGTGTTGGATTACTGCTCCAATGCCATTTGTAGAGGCATCGCAAGCTAAAGTGAGTGGTAGGTTTGGGTCATACTGGGCTAAAATCTGATCACTAGTTAGCAGCTCTTTACACTTAACAAAAGCTGCCTGCTCACACTCAGTCCATTTCCATGTTACTTGTTCTCTGAGTAACCTGTACAGTGGGGCAAGTACTGTGCTTTGCATTGACACAAATCTATCATAATAGTTCACAAGCCCTAAAAACGCTTTCAACTCCTTCACATTAGTGGGAGCAGGGGCTTCCTGTATTGCCCTCACCTTTTCTTACGCTGGGTGGATGCCTTGCTGATCCAGGATGTGTCCCAGATATTCGATTTGCTCTTTGCCGAACTCACACTTGGAATGTTTCACTCGCAGGCCGTTTTCCAGAAGACGCCTCAGCACTTTTCCAGATTGGTGTGGTGCTCCATTTCTGTGCGCCCAGTGATTAGTAAGTCGTCCAGATAAACCACTGGCAGATCTTTCATGATATTCTACATGATGCGCTGGAAAATAGATGGGGCAGCACTTATCCCAAAAGGAAGCCTATTATAAACAAAGTCCCTTATGTGTGTTGACGGTTGTATAATTTTTAGAGACCTCATCCAACAACACTTGCTGATAAGCTGCTGCAAGATCTATTTTCGAAAAGATTTTACCTCCACTGAGGGTCGCGAGCAGCTCCTCCAGGCGAGGCAGTGAGTAAGTGTCTGTCTCAATGGCTTGGTTTACCGACACTTTAGAGTCGCCACATAAGCACAGTAATTGGTCTCTTTTCTGCACTGGTAGGACTGGTGCTGCCCAGTCACTGTGTTTAACTGGTGAAATGATTTTTTTCTTCCTCCAGCCTTCTCAGTTCACCTACCACTTTTTCTTTCAATGCAAACGGAAGAGTCCTGTATTTGCAAAACTTGGGTGGTACCTATGACTTTACAATGATGCTTGCTTTAATGTCTTTTAGAATGCCCAATTCATCCCTGAATACTTCACTGTATTTGTCTATAAGATCTTTAATGGTTTGAGGCTTGGTCACACTTACATACTTAATCATTTTCCAGTTGAGTTTTAGCTGCCTCAACCAGTTTCTGCCACAAAGCTCCACATCCTTTGACAACTAGCAGTGACAGTTCCACAGCTTGATCCTCATACTTGACATGTGCTACGAGCTGTCCGACCACGTGAATGTGCCCTCCATTATATGCTTTGAGTTTTACTTTAGCTGGTTGTAAAGGCAGGTGTGACAACTTTTTCCAGTATTTGCTTGTGAAATGACACTCCTTGCTGCTCCAGTGTCTACTTCCATTTCCATATGTACATCTTCAATAGAAAATGTAACTTTGTACATTTCATCATCCTCACTGCTCACTGTCATGATCGCCAACTCCTCTGGTTCTGAATCTTCTTTAGCAGTCATGTACTTGGTGTCTTTACCTTGAGATCTCTTGTAGGTTGGACGTGAATGACCTTTCTGTGGTTTTGTGTGACATGTCTTTTTCAGATGTCCTATTTTTCCACAGTTATGGCATTTAGTCTCTTTGAAATGACATTCATTTGCGTTGTGATTCTTTCCTTTACACCGATAGCACATGTTTCTCTTGTCTCACCTTGTGGACAGTACCCGACCCCACAAGTTCACTTTCAGTACCTCTCAGCTGTCGAGTGTCTCTGTCGGCAGTCTCCATATTGAGTGCGAGCTCAAAAGCCTTTGCAAACGTGAGTTTGTCTTCAGAAAGTAATCTTCTCTGGCACGTTTCATTTTTAATGCCACTAACAAACCGGTCCCGTAGTACCGAATCCAGACTCGCGCCAAACTCACAGTTAGCTGCTTGTTGTTTTAGCTCAGCAACATACTGGGCAACTGTCTGATTAGCTTTCTGGTTGCACCTGTTAAAACGGAACCTTTCAGCAACTAAAATCGACTTTGGCTCAAAATGTCCTTGTAAGATCTTTCTTCAAAAGTCTTATCCTTCCGGTTGCACAAAGTTTCTCAAAAGTCCATATGTAGTTGCACCCATTACACTTAGCAAGACGGCTACATACGTCACCTCTTCAACGTAGTTGGCATCGAAAAACTGCTCAAGCCGCTTGATGTATGCAGTCCACGGCTCATTTTCTGGCTTAAACTCGTCAATATTGCCGATGTGGGCCATCGTACTCACTAGTACCGACACCGTGTGCCTTTGTCCCTCCGCAAGTATCCTCGTCGCCAATTGTAATGTATTCGAAAAAAGACTCGAAGAGCAGGTACATTTATGCAAACCTTAACAGCACCACGTTTTACTGCATACATTTTGCAAGTACCAGAAAAAGACAGGCGCATGGGCGACAGCGCCAGAACAGGCTGCATGAAAACTCAAAGGCAACACATGGGCAAATACACCACACATAACATGAACATAAATGGCAATAATAAATAATAAAATAAAAATAAGTAGCAAAAATAACAAGAGACTGATGTCAAAATAATTATATAAATGCATATACAAGTAAAAATAAAAATATAGAAATATAGTAATACAAATATATCTCTCAGCCATAAACATGAGGTCATAAGGGCAAAGTGATTGACGTGAAAGAATCTTATCCATTATATACCAGTTTTGCTTGTTTTACAGTGTGTGCCTCTATTTGTCTGCAGATACTACACAGTGGCTGTCCCTGCCATCCTGGAGTCTGGAGCTCAGGGCAAGTTATGTGCCAATCTCATGAAGCCCAATGAGTCTATGGTGATGACAGTGACACTCAGGTCCCCGGAGCTCAACACCACCCTCTTCCAGAAAAAATCTGATGAGGATTTCCACTCCTGCCATGACTTCCTGGTACAGACATCTGTAAAATACACTTCATAAGTTAAACACAACGTTATCTCAGTTGGTTTGTCCACTGATCTAATTCGAAGGTTGGCGGGTCGAATCCTGTTCTCAAAAAAAACATTATTAGTATTGTGTTCAAATTCACTGACGCACAGCTTATTTCCAGATCCACAGATGAATGCTTTTGTTGTATACTTTGGCAAGACACTTAAACCACCTAGTCCCAAGTGCCCGCTTACACTGGTATACACTGGAGTCACAGATAGATGTTATAAAATTTTAAATAAATGTACACCCTATTTTTTATGCACTATTGATCAGAGTTTAATGGCTATGTTAATAAAACTATCTTTTTTCTGTCATGTTAAATATTTCATTATATTGTTTTGACTTGACATGCTATCCATAGAAAAGAGTGTGACTCTTGTCTCTTTGTGACTCTAGGTTCCTCTGGTGTCTGATGAGCAGGTGCGGGACTTCCAGGTGGAGGTTCGAGGGAAAACGTTTTACTCACAAGAGGTTCGCAGAGTCCTCATCCGAATCAGTAAACCAGTGAGCTTCATCCAGACAGACAAACCCATCTACCTCCCAGGACAGACTGGTAATTTATCTTATTTTAAGGTACAACGGGAAAAAAAAGATAAAACTATACTTCAGAACTACTGTGGAAGAATACAACCAAAATAACAACAGTTCCATGGAACGTAGCAGGAGGAAGCCCTCCTCTAGACCAAATATGAGATAACTTTGTGCAAATTCAAACCCACTCACAGGAAGCATGTTTTCTTAAATTTTCAGTGCTATAAAAGCATCTAAAATTAAAAAAACAGCAACATATTTTTTTTTTTATTTTACTCTATTTTTTGGCACAGTGAGGCTTTAACTGCTATATGTTTCTTGAGGACAAAAACATTCTAATATTTTTCTGCCTTGGTTGCCTGTTCTTTCCAGTGTTTTCTTTATCATTCAATCAAAAAAATAATTTAAATTATTTTATTTGGCATTTGAAATTATATGGCAACCATCCTGACTAACCAATGATGTAATTACTCAACAATCCATCACATGTTATCAAGTCTTTCCCCATTTTATAATAATTTACAATATTCTGCTTCTGTTATAATGCAATTCACTTCTGCTCCCCTTGGGGCCAGAAGTGTTGATGAATAAAACTGCTGCTGATAATGTAACTGTTTCATTAATGTTTATGTTTTGGTCATTGCAAACCAAATATGAGCCTTATTTAATTTAAGTATGTTTATTTCTGCAGTGCACTTCAGGCTGGTGACGCTGGACACAAAGCTCAGGCCTGCCTGTCGAAAGGTGATTGGCTGTATTGATTTAAATGAGTCAGACTGACCCGGGCCCATTGCATCTCTAAGTTCAGTTTGCTTAGTTAATACAGACTTGTTTAAAAGTTCACAGAAACTCAGGGTCACAACTCCTACCCTTTTTGTTATGTAATTTTTTAGGCTTAAATGCAGAATTAGAATTTTATCTGTGAAAAAATAATTGTTATTTTGAAGTCTTTGCATATATAAACATTGTGCTCTGTGTACTCAGATATTGTCAATACTCTGATAATTAATAATCAATCATTTAAATTTGAAATAACCAAGTATATGAAGTCATAGATAAATACATATATTATAATAAAGTTTACCAAAATATATAAACTATGTCTGTATAATCCCTCAGTCTTCTGAATAGAATTGATTGTTTTCATATACAAAATACTGCACTGTGAATTTTGATTTTTTTTCTCTTTGTTTTGCAGTATGACATCATCGAACTAGAGGTAAGATTTGGAAGGGGATACTTTTAAAATGTCAAGTGTTGAAGTGATTTTCACCAAACAAGGACTGAGCTCTAAACTGACTGAGACCGAGACTAACAGGGATTATAATAAGATCAAACAAAGTCCAATTCTAGACTTCGCGGCTGTTTACACGAGTGTGAGATTTCACAAATTCACAGAGTTTTAATATCAGATTGGCCTCTCTTTTACACTACTATGAGCTACATGTTCAGTAACTTCTGCTGAAAACCATGGAGGAGGTTTCATTACTCTAATACACATGTTTTGCCTTTGTTTGTCAGGATGTACATGGTAACCGCATCGGGCAGTGGGTGAACTACACCTCTGAAGGTAAAATACTGCAGCTGTCTTACCCCCTGAATCCTGAGGCCAAAGAGGGCAGCTACCGGTTCATTGTCTCTTTTGGGGAGGACAAAATCTTCCACCCCTTCAAGGTGGAGAAGTATGGTAAGTGTTGTTCATTTCATAATGCATTATTCATATTTTGTTTTACATTGTTTGTTTACAAAATGCATTCTTAAAGGGTCTATATTATTCTATTTTCTAATCCATGTTATGTTTCCTCACCAAAAACATACACATGTTTAACACAAACCTTCCATATTTAGGCTGAGTTTATCTCTTAAACAGAAAACACTGTGATGTCTTGTGGTAATACAGGGGGTGCTCCACTGTGTTTTTAAACTCCATACACCTTCACTAAAATCATGTAGATAATATCAGACCTGAAATGCCGATCTCCACTGAACAAAGAGGTGAAAGGTAGCTGTTAACTTGAAAACTTACACATGATGACAGCATAAGGTGGAACAGAGCATTTGGATATGTAGACAGACTGCATACACCTTAAAGGCCTCTAACCATGTCCTAAAGTATGTTACTTCAGATTTGTCTAGAGTTATATTTTAAGTGATACATGCATGTTGAGTGTTTCCTGTATTTGGGACTTGAGTTCCATGAAAATTTCAGTTTTCAACTACCACCTAACTCATAGTTCTGCACTTCCTTGCATTTGCAATTTAGACTGTAGATTATACAGACATGTTCAAAGTTAAGTAGCCATTAAAACTATTTAAAATGCTGCTTGCCATAGTGAAATACCACTATAAAGCACAGCAGATCAGTACTACATAAAAAAATCAGTACTGCAGTTTTGAACAGAAAGTCAATGGACCTGTTTCTATTTTAAAGTTGCACTATGTAACAATTTGGTTGGGGGTTTGTCACCTGTTTGTTTCTATGAAGATGTCATTGCTCTGCCTGGAATGTTCCAGAGTATGACATTAAATCTAAATTAAATCACAGGTAGGTTTATAGCTCAAAAATAATTTGAAAAACAACTATTCTGACTGTGAGCGGGGTCGCCTTTACACACATCTGACCTGTAACTTGATCTAGTTTGATCTCCAAGAACATAGAAAAGTTTAATTCCATACTGTAAAACATTCCAAACAAAACAATAACATATCTGTGGTGAAAAGCATTTGACGGACCCTCCATCAGAAAAGTTACACAATGCACCTTGAAGTTCTTTTAAATCAATATTGTGGTTTTCAATGAACAAAATGTTAAAGATCTACATAGTGAATGTAAAAGTTAATTTCATGTATAAAAAAAAGATCTGTCCTTATACCAATTTAACAAGTTTGTAATAGATTAACATATAAATACAACTTTATTTTAACCCCCAGTTTTGCCAAAGTTTGATGTTACAATCACCTCCAAGGATCAAGTGAGCATTGGCCAGAAGGAAATCCCGGTAGAAGTTTGTGTCAAGTAAGTCCAGTAAACTCTTTATATTAAAAACAAAATAATCATAATCATAATCATAATCATGTCCCTTCTCTTTAGATATACCTATGGACAGCCTGTTCCTGGTACACTGAAAATGGATGCATGTAGACCAGTCATCACATATGGCTCTTATATAGTGCTTGATAGGCCAGATGCCATGCCAGTGATCACTGCCCCCTGCCATAAAGAGAGCAAACAGGTTCATTGTCAATTTAATAATCAACATTTGCATAAAGTAGCTGCAGCATAATAGAAGCTATACGGTATATTTTTAAACCAGTATGCAAATTGCTCAATAGTTTAATCCAACAATAGTTTACAATAATTTAGTTGTATTTTGCTTGTTTTTAGACCGATAAAAATGGGTGTGCTACCTTTACTTTGCCAATGTCCACTTTCACAAAACTGGACCAAAAGGCTCTGCAGGACACACTAGAGATTGTGGCCAAAATGGAAGAGGAGGGAACAGGTACTTTTTTTCCTTTTGTTTTTTTAAAAATAATACAACTTGTTAAATGTATTCATGAATATTTGTGTTTCAAGGTTCGAGTGTTTTCAAGTATTGACACCTATTTCCACCCACAACTCATTATTATTTACATTCACATGTATTCATTTGTACTACGCGTAATACACATAGGGTAAAAATGTTACATAGAAGAAAAAAAAGAAAAACTAAAAATCAACTATTAAGTGATTTTTGATCAATATTGCATAAGTTACTTTAGTACTTGATAAAAGTATATACCAAGTATATTTAGGGTATGTTTATTATCCAGGCTTAGACACAGGCAACCAAGGTTCAGATGTGACTGTTAAAATCTAATACTGTGATTTACAATTTTGTAATAATTCGTGAATACTAGCAAAAAAAAGCATAGTGTGTGTATAGTTTTAAGTATAGTATGTATATTAAAGGCATTTGTTTATTCACAGGCATCACACATACGCAGCACAAAGTAATTCATATTTCATACGTCATTGGAAAATTGTCCTTTTTTGACACACCAAAGGTTTATCAGAAAGATATTCCTGTGCAAGGAAAAGTAAGTCCACCATCTATCACCTGTGTTACTAATAAATTAACTCACTTTAATGTAAACTATATGGTGTATTTTAGGTTAAGGCAGTGACATTTGATGACCAGCCCATTGCAAACACAAACTTGTACCTGTTTGAGGGCGAGTTCTGGTCATCACGGCACCTCCAAAACCTCACGACCGACAGCAACGGAGTGGCCACTTTCTCTCTTGACACCACAACATACAGTGGAAACATTCATCTCCATGTAAGACACTGTGAAGAATACTGGAGATCAGAGGCTTTGTCAGACACTTTAACACTGGATTGGCATTGAATTCACATGGTGGTGGTAAACTACTATTGTAGCCACAGCTGCCTTGGGGCAGACTGACATAAATGACGCTGCCAGTGTGCACCATAGGCCCCACTGACCACCACTAATCACTCACACACGCACCACATTCACAGTAGGCAAGGTGGGTGAAGTGTCTTGCTTAAAGACACATATGTGCATTAGAGACTGGACAATGCAATATAACCAAAAATGCATGATTTGAATGCAACTTTGAATAAACTAATGATCAGAAAATGCTGTTATATCATGGTTAAAGGCCCAATATTGTACATAATAAATTACAATACCACTTAATTTAATGAATCTATCTATTTTAAAATTTCCTTTGGGATCAGTAAAGTATCTACATCTATCTATCTATCTATCACTATCCTAAATCACAGATCAGTCAGAAGCCCTCGCTGGACTACCCTGGATACAGGGTCCCGTACTATGAGCCTGGGGACATAATACTGTCTATGGCCCAGGAGTCGACTCCAGACACCAAAACTGTGAGCTCCGTCGAGGTGAAGAGCATCTCCGAGCCCCTCCCCTGTGACTCTATGCAGGATATAACCATCAACTACAGTGTGGTCAAAGAGAAGAAGGGGCCCATGGACTTCATATACTTGGTGAGACGCTGTATGATAGTGTAGGGGAGATATGAGAAGGTTTTAATATCTGTGTTAAAAACATTTTAGATTTTAGATTTTATTGTCCTTATTTGTTTTTATAGCTTTACATTTAAAAGAAAGACATTTTCACAGAAAGATTACACATCCATAACACAAAGAAACACACAGTGAAGTGACATAGAATACAGGTGACATTTTAAGTGTTTATGTTAATGCACAATTAACATAACAGAATGACATATGTTACAATGTTAGTTTAAAAATACAGCGTAATGCACATGTTTAAACTATACACTTTAAGCTTTAAATTGTATCACTAATTTGATTTTGTAATAATTTTCTGCATGTCCTATGACTGAACTTACTGAAGTAGTGCATATAAACACAGTCTGATATAATGCCAGTCTATTTTACTACCACATTAAATTATATCAGTATCATTTTTTTTTATATATGCATATGTTTTTTATTTATGTAGTATAGTGTAGTGTAGTGTAGAGAGTGCTAGTGCTACTTCTCAACTGTCCTTGTTTGGACTTTTCAATACACTGAACAGTATAGTTAAAAAAAAAAAAAGTTTGAAAGCACAAGACACAGCTGTATGAAATATAGTATGTATTTCTCATACTTTATATATTTTCAGGTCCTTGCCCGAGATGGTATTATTATGCAGGGGCGCAAACGAATTGTTGTGGCTGAAAACGCAGGTAAATAATATCAAACAATATCTTTATACTGTGAGAAATTAGAATAAAACCAGCATCTGTTGACACAAATGTCCCTTTAAATGATTCAGTGACCGAGGGCAGCTTTTCCTTCAAGTTAAAAATCACTGCAGCATTGGCTCCTGATTTTACCGTTGTGGCCTATGGCGTCCTGGCCAGCTCCTTCGTCATCGCCCACAGCAATCAGTTTCAAACTGAGAAATGCTTTAGCCACAAGGTCAGTGCTAACAAACCTAAAATATACCTGAAACATAAAGAAACACAATGTACAATTTTGCCTTATTATTGATATTAGACTCAGACTTAGACAAGCTTTATTGATCCACAAGGGAAATTATTTGAATACAGTAGCTCACATATCACAATAAATACAGTATAATAACAGAGGGCAACAATATAAATGGTAATAATAAATTCAAAAGAAGTAGCATAAATAGAAATAGCCTGTTGTCAAATAGGCATAATTATATAAATGTATATGTACAAGTAGATCTGACCTGTTTAATGCCACATAGTGAAATATTCTAAAGCAATATCATCTCCAGGGAAAAAGCAAGTAGCATACCCTCCACCACAAAAGTGACATAGTGCAGTTTAAAGGTGCATTATTTAACTTTTCTGGTGGAGGATCCGTCAAATGCTTTTCTCCCTGGCGGTGTTTGTCAGAAATGTTTCACAGTGTGGCTTTAAACCTTTCTATCATCATGGAGACCAAACCAGGCCATCTTACAAGTCAGTCAGGAGAGGCAACCCCACTCAGTCAGAAGGCCTGTTTTTTTTTTTAGGTATTTTTAAACTATAAAACCACCTGTAATTGATTAAATGTAAGATAGAGCTGTTTAATGCCATACTGTGGAACCTTCGAAGCAGAGCAATGACATATACATAGAAGCAAGAAGGTGACATACCCCAACAGAACTTTACATAATGTGCCTTTAAACCTTTGATATGATTCTTGCACGTACTGAAACCTGCACACTCTTGGTTTGCTGTTTAGGTAGAGGTTGAATTTGAACCATCTCAGGGCACTCCAGGAGAAGATGCGTCCCTACGTGTGATCGGACAAGCCAACTCCCTGTGCGCAATCAGCGTCATCGACCAGAGTGTCCTTATCCAGGAACCAGGAAAATATCTGAAACCAGAAATGGTGAGTTAGAATCACTCAACATCATATACATCTATATCTATATCTATCTCTCTCTCTCTCTATCTATCTATCTATCTATCTATCTATATATATATCTATATCTATCTATATATATCTATATATCTATATATCTATCTATATATATATATATATATATATATATATATATATATATATATATATATATATATATATATATATATATATATATATATATATATATATATAATCCCAAAAATGTATCAATGTATTGTTTTGTCAATATGGCTAAGCGTTATAACTACATTTGAGTTAAAACTGTATGAAACACCAACAGTAACAGCTCTCTTTGTTTTTTTTCCAGATATACAACTTGTTGCCTGGAACCAGATATGTTCCCTATCAGGCACAAGACCCCACAGAATGCCTCCAGGTCCGACCCAAACGATCCATCTGGCCCTACCCAGGAAACACAGACGATGCCCACACAGTCTTCCAGGTACCAATATGGATAAATCTTTTTCTGCCAAATATATGTTGAATATTAGGAGTGGGCAATATTCCAAGAATATCACCATTTTCCACAGAGCCCAAGTCACATCTTAGATTGGAAATCAAATAGGAAGTCATTAACTTATTTTTATATGGTCGTATTGCACACCCCTAGTGGATATTGGCACAGATTACACATTTTACATGCATATTTTGTTTTTGGATAAAATTAGAACGTTGGACTGAAGTTGGCTACAAACCTGATGATCCGTGTGCCTGACTGCCTCAGCTATTTCGGACGAGAATACTACTTTGGCCGCAACTATAGTAATGTCTATTTTATATTATTATACATGCTTAATTGTCTGTCTACTATACAATTGGCATTATCTGATTATTATAGTTGCAATGGAAGAACGAATCGTGGCGATGTCTTCTCCCGGGGGTCCAGTGGGGGGCATGGGAAGTGTTCCAGATGCTAGTCTTCCTGTGATTGAGACTGTCCGGATTTTCTTCCCTGAGACTTGGCTCTGGTTCCTGCAGGAGACTGGGTTAGTAAGGAAAAAACTAAAAATTTAATTTTTTTGGCTTGAACCTTAAAGGTACACTATGCCACTTTTCTGTTGGGCCCTGGAAATGCTATTCTCCTATTGACAGTAGGCTTTAGACAGATCTGACTTGTAACTTGGCCTTGATGAAGTCAACTGATTTTCCCTTGGGAACAGATAAAATTTAATGCCACAATAAATCTTTATGAACATTGTTTATCAGTTGATATGTATCTCTACAATGTGTCATATATATTTGACTCCGTCTGTATTTTTGTTTTTTCAGACCTTCTGGAAAGGTGGACATGCCTGTAAAGATCCCAGACACCCTCACAACTTGGGAGACGGAGGTGTTCTGTCTGTCCTCCCAAGGCTTTGGTCTGGCCCCCCGACAACAGTTCACTGTGTTCCAGCCTTTCTTCCTGGAGGAGAGCCTGCCCTACTCCATCATCAGAGGAGAGGACTTTGAACTCAAGGCCACTGTCTTCAGCTACCTCAAGAGCTGCATGATGGTGAATATACAATAATAAGGACTCCTAATATAACAGTTATTTAGTTAATTTATAGGGAATAATTAATAGGGAATAGTTATTTAGTTAATTAATAGTAACTTTTCTGGTAAGAGTCCCACTGGTTGTGTCCATGGAGATATGTCAGGGAGACTTCTTTGCCTCTAATGTACCACAGTATGGCAGTAAACTTGCTTATTATTTAGTTATTGGAGATTTTTGTTTAGTTTAGTTTTGTTTTTTACAATAAAACAATATCTTGAAAAATATGCATTCTACTGTAAGCGGCCTAACTCCCCACAAATTGGACCTGTAAATTGACTTGGTGCTTTTCTCCATGGAAATAAATATGTTTAATGAAAAATATGAAAAATTCCAGGCAAACAACAACATTTCCATGGTAACAGACCCTACATTAAGAAAGCGCACCTTTAATATCTAAGTCTTTTTGCTGTTGTCAGGTTGCTGTAACCCCAACCCCCTCTGACGACTACACCCTGACTGAGGTCCCTGGATCTGACTACACGTTCTGTCTCTGTGGCAATGAACGCAAGACAGTCAGCTGGATCTTGGATCCCTCGTCTTTGGGTGAGGCTTTCAACATTTGCACAGCCAGTTTTAGAGAGCTAAGGATCAAGCTAGCAGTTTTTAAAAATTATGCAAAAAATAGCTTTTTAGCAAAACTTATTAATATTATGTTAATAATAATAAGTATGGCTGTAGTCATTTGTAATTGTCAACAAACATTTTCAAGTTTAGTGTTTAAGGATTATAGGACAACAGCAGATAGAAGAAGTCAGTGAATGAGTTAGCTGAAGATTTGGTAGTTTTTGGTATTTAATATATAATGCGGGTATAGTTTTGTGATGGTTTGGTCAGATACACAGAGACAATAGTTTTGAGAGCTTCTGCCATGCCCTTTTACATTGATTAATCGATTGGCAGGACATGACTACAAAGCTAATATGAAAAAACATATAGACTCAGGTTTGTCAAAAAATAATGTCTTTATAACAATTAATTATAACAATTTTATTTTGATGTTTAAATTGATTAAATTAAATGAACAGTATCTTAATCAGATTTCAGTTCAACTGAAAGATAAATGGTACATTGCGTTTATCATCCAGGCACTGTGAATGTGACAATTAAAGCCGAGGCTGTGCCTTCTAAAGTGTCATGTGACAACGAGGTTGTCCATGTCCCAGAGAATGGGCGCATCGATGTGGTCACCCGGCCTCTCATCATCAAGGTACTTACTCAGTGACTAATTACTTACATTTATATAGTACCAGTCAAAATTTTGTACACATCCTCTTTTTTGATTTATTTTTCTTTAGCCTTACAATTTTTTACATTTTAGATACTTACAGAATACATCAAATATGTGAAGTAAGATATATGGAATTATAACTTTAATAGTAGTCTAATAGTAATAATTCTACTAAGTTTTTTTTTTTTTATATTTTATATTCAAATGCTCAAAGTAGCCACCTTTTGCTTTGTTGACAGTGCTGCAAACCCTAGGCCTTCTCTCAATAAGCTTCTCAATGTTCCAAAAAAAAGTTTATTGTCAGTTCTTCATTCAATGAGATGAAGTCTCCTGAAATGGTTTTCACTTTATATGTGTGCCTCGTCTGGGTCAAGAAATGCCAAAAGAGCAGGCAGTGATGAAAGCAAAAGGTTGATTTTTAGTTTATTTTTTGATTGCTAATTTCCATTTGTGGTAGATAGACATGCACATCCAATAAAAACTGTGACTGTGTGCTGGGTTCAAGGACAAAGGAGACATTAATGAGTTTGTGAGTTAGCTGAAGATTTTGTATTTTTTTATATTTATATGTAAAAAGGCAGATTAAACTCAAGATCACAATTAAAATTTTTCTGTATTGTTGTTTTTTCGTACTTTCATGTACACCCGGGCAGGTGTGGTCTTGTGAGTGCAGTTTGGGTCAGATATAAAGAGATACGTTATAGTTTTGAGAGCTTTTGCCACGCCTCCCTTTTTAGAACGGCAGAACATGTTTGCAGTCTACCAAGAATTTATTTAGTCGACAACAGCCCTAATATATCCTTTTTATATGATTTCATGATAATGCATATGTCTTTTACTTTTCTAATGCAAATGAAGTGTTATGTCCAGGTGATTTTCCTTCATTTGTAAGTTTCAAGTCATAAATGATAGCATGTTTTTTTTTTTCAGGCAGAAGGGATTGAGGTGATAAAGACCCACAACCTGCTGCTCTGCCCTAAAGGTAAGATCAAAAATAAGTGCCATGTATCATTATAACAAAATCTAAC